TGGATATGTTGAAGACGCCTCACCGATCGACTATCTCAAAGTTTGCAAGATCTACGGCTGCAAAAAATGCAATGGCCAATCATGAGTTTCACGGAGAAAAATTTATTTACGAAATTTCGATGATTAAAGAATCAAATGAAGTGCAGTGCTGTAACTGGTGCAAGCAGCTGATTTATTGGTGTGCCCAGACCAATCAGACCTTCGTCTTCTCGCTAGCCCATATCTGACATGTTCCTTACTCTAATGTGTCATTCCCAGTTCCCCATTCCTACAGCATACGGGTAGCCTTTGTGTTGCTTCACCATTCCAAGAGGCTTCCTGGTTTCCTGCCCGATGCAGAGCCTGCTGATTTCTCTGAAATGATATTTGACACCTTACCATGCCACGACTCCCTTCGATGCTACATCGCTTTCAACGAGCCCCAGCTCCCCTTTGAAACTCAGAAACATGGCACCCTTCCCATTCAGTAGTAGTCTTTGCTCTGCCAGGCCGTCATGCCGTTCTTACATCCTCATGATGATGTTGTCTGTCACTGTCAGGGAACTATCTGAATACAGAGTCGTCAGCAAAAGGGCATAGAGCCGATGTTGGATACGTCCCAATTGTGCCATGTAGAAAGGATTTGATATGTGCTTTTAGTTGTGAAAGGTTGATTTGAGACTGGGACGGTTCCTTTAAAGCATAAGGCGAGCAACACGGTTCCATGGAGGCTTTTGTCTGAAATAGAATCTTGAAAAAAAATGAAAGCTCGTCAAGTTTAAACGGTTGCAGCAAAAAGCTCCGGGAAGCAAAGGCGCTACATTTACAACCACTGTGAGTTTATAATATCAATCAGAGCTCACAGGGTGCTATGAGTGCACACTGATTGCTCATTTTACAACAATCTGCAAGTCAACAGCAAAACTTCAGTGACGGCAATCTTAGTAACTTTTTGGGTCTTTGCAAGAAAAGTCATTTTCAATTTCAACCCCCTCCCTTCTATCGTGAACGAACAATGCAATGCTCATTGTTCCGATATACCCACTAAATTCCTCCTGAAGGGTACTCTATATTACAAGCTCACAGAACAAGCATTGTTAACATAGATATAGCGCTTATTGTGCTGCTACATTATTTGTCCAAAATTTAATGATGC